CTTACTGGTTCTCGTATTAGTTATATGTGTAACAAGCTCGGTACATATGATGTGTATGCACCGACTTGAGGGGGAGTGTTAGATATGTACATAATGTAGTCTTGTCCCACATTGGAATATGAGTAGTATGTCCTTGTATAGTATAGCTATAAATAAGGACCTCTTGTATTGTATTGAACACACAATATCAATATATCATATTTTCTCCCGTGCCTTCTCACGTGATGAAAATCTCCTCTTTTGGTCTTCAGGTCAGGTGCATTGGCTGTACATCAACAGATGCTTATGGGCTATTCCATCTTGATATAGCTTTGAAATCACTAATTGCTAATTCGTGATTAGGAGGACAATTCTAAGATAATAGTTATGTGATTATTTTGAGAGGATTATCATCTTGTAATCTCAGNCATTGGCTGTTGTACATCAACAGGGGCTTATAGGCTATTCCATCTTGATATAGCTTTGAAATCACTAATTGCTAATTCGTGATTAGGAGGATAATTCTAAGATAATAGTTATGTGATTATTTTGAGAGGATTGTCATCTAGTAATCTCAGAGGACCTATGTATAACTTGCATTATATTTAAGTGTTGCTTTTGGTGTTTTTTTTTTGGTATCAATGTTCCACTTTTGTCCTTCTATCCCTGTTGGGAATGGAGTTGGTGTAGGTGTCAGGAGATAATCATGGCCCAAAGGATTTAATAAGTTAGTTGAATTCCACTGTCGCAAGACATTTAATTGTTAATGGTTAGTGTGAAATCTGTGGAGTCATGAAGAAGATGGGAAGCTGCTAACTTAACTAGAGGTAGTGATATTATTTTATGTCAAGACTATAGTATCATGTCTGTTCTCGGTCTTGAGCTTGATCTTCACTGCAACATCATGCCAAGCTGTTTCAGTGACGGAAACACTGGGAGTTTATTATCCTTTGGCTGCATCAATTTGTTTGGTTTGTGGTACCATTCTCTTTCAGTTATGAACCCTCCCCTGAATTATGAAGTCCCTTATGTTGAACAGTTCAGAAATAGGTTTCTCAGCATGGTTGCTGAGTAAAATTCTTTGATTTAAGTTGCAGTTGTGAAAATTTATTATGTAAATGCATTTATCTTTCTGAAACTGAGAGCTTTTGTGCATTTTTCGTTTTATTTATGCGTCTTTATAGAAGATTAGAGTTCAGACAAGCAGTGAATTGATAGCCCCACAATGGGTAAGCTCTGTTAATTGTTAAATGCTTGTATTCTTATTGATAGGCGAAGCATCAGTACAGGATTTCACCAGGTAGAGTATCATCTGATGCCAGGGGCAACGATTTCCCATTGCTTCTGGAGGGGAAGCAGAAGGATTCCCCAAAGCTTGAAAACAATGGAGTTAGAGTACTTACTAAAGCACAAATTGATGCAGAGTTAGCTCAAATGATGAGCATGAGTGCGGAAGAGGCTGCTGCAGCTGCTACACAAGCAGTTGCAGAGGCAGAAGCTGCTACTGCTGAGGCAGAAAGGGCAGCTAGAGATGCGGAGAAGGCTGAAGCAGAGGCAGAAGCGGCACAGTGCTTTGCTGAAGCAGCATTGAAGGCATTGAATCCTCGAACTGTCCGTGTGTGGTAAGCTTATCTTCTAAGTTACCTTTTTATTAACGTACACTAAATGTTAATAAAAGGTGATCGAGCAATTTTAGTTCCATCTTAAGCAAAGAGTCAATCAACTATGCCTTAAATTTCAAATTACTTGGGTTTGGTTTATAACGTCACCGTCCATGGGGATCAAACCATGACCACAATTTTAGTTCCAGTTTTGATTTGCTAATCTAAAAGACATGATGGATGGAGTAACAAAAGTGGACTTGCTTTGGTCCTATGAAGGAAGAGGTCTTGTATATTCAAATTTCTTTTGGATTTCTAATCTGTATTCCATTTCAAGTATGAAGTCAACCTTTTGCCTTTTAATGTTACTCAATTATTAGTTACTCGCTCTGTTGCCTAGAGAGATTTACCTGCATAGTACCTTCTTTTTTTTGAGTGTGGGGCGAGGGCAGGGGGTTGATCGCGTTGCCTATGAAGTAAAGAATTAGGTGGCCTGCTGTTTTCTCTCACCTTCAGTGGTTTCACAATCTATCCTTTTTGTTTTTCATTTAATACTAACTAGTATATCATAGGTTTGTTTATATTTCACTATATCATTATGCTCGCAACCTAATCCTTTGGTTGCATATAAGATTTTGAATTCTTATCGCCTCTTTACAATTTCTTTTTTTTGCTTATGCAGGTGGATCTGGATTGCAACAGCTAGGGTGTGCATCTATCCAGCTTAAATGTCACTGTAGATATGTGAATAGATTTGTAAATATGGATAACTGTGTCCATTGGCAGGTGATATTGAATGTCATTGGCAAGAGAGCAATTTTAGTCTTTTATTTTTGTACATATACCCTCTTTTGTAGTCTGTTTGGGTGCAAACTGTACAGACAGCTAGTTGACTTGCCACGGAACCCCATGAAATTTTTGGTGATGCTATGAGTATATAAAATTATAGTTTTGATTATGTGGATATAGACCACACGAGTTACTGATTCATTTTAACTTTGTGATGGTAAATGATTCTGGTATCAGCAGCACTTGCACATCAATCGATTAATCCCCACCAAATTATCGTGCATTAATATCTTTCGAATGTGAAGACCAATTTCCGGCATTCGTTGGATATGAACTAATAGCAATGAAGGATGGGTACCCAGCGAGCTTTTCTAGCGTAACTATACGCGTCAATTAGCCAGGTTCCCCCAGTTCATTTGCCAATGCATCTATTGGCAAGGGAAAAAATAATTTGTGTATGCGAGATATGAACATAAGGTGCATATTTTCTATCTCTTTTCCCGAAGAGCTGATGTGAAATGAAAATCAAGCGACATTCTTATTGCGTCCAACAAATACATCAAAAATTAAAATGCGAGATGGCTCAACCAAGTGCGAAGATGAAGATTTAAACTCAGAAATTATGTCCTAAAACTTGCTGCTGTATTATTAGGGAGTCAAGGACCCTGAATCTCCCAAAACCTCGTGTACTTACTCTGCTAAGTTCCTGTTTTCAATTCTACACCAAGTGCAAGCGAAAGTCCACGTCTAAAAGGTACATATGATTTTGATTACTATGCAACTGTTTTTAATCTGCCCATGAAATAAAATACTTATACCAAAAACCAAGAAATGGGTTGGAATTTACTTTGATTAGAAACCAGAGATATCTCCAGTCACATTGTTCATAGATGACAAACACAGACTTGAGCTAAACTAAAGGTCATGAAAGAACTACTGCACAAAAGATGCTGAACATATTAGAGGGTAGATCCCAAAGAGTTTGCATTCAAAGAAGCAACTTCTATCCTAATAAAGGGATACTAGTTTGTAATTTATCAAGTCATTCCAGTTAAAATAATCCTTTACATGAAAACACAGACATTGACAGATTGTGAATGCAAAAGAAAATGGCTACAACTGAACTAAGGCATCCGAGACACAAGCAGGGCCACTCAGCTTATAGCCTCAGATGAGCAATAATCAAAGAAGAATAATATATTAACTGCTAATCAAGAGTATCCCACATTCAATTTGGGGAGAGGCATACTGATGGCCACCAAATGAAGACTTATCATAAGGAGCAAGTAAACAAATTTCTAAGAGAATCTTGTACACTTGCAGGTTGACTACTAAAGTCGCGCACAAGTTTGAGAAGAACTTCATGGTATTTGTTTGGAATGCTGATCTATAAGAAAGCCAATCATCTTTAGCTATCTATGATTTCAAATATATGCTAGCAATTGAGAAATCCTAAGATATTATGGAAGGTTATATAATATCAAGGCTGTTCACTTCAAATTCGGTTATTCATCTGCAGTTGCAATTATGATCCCAAGGAAAGCATGCTATACAGAATAAATGATCACCTTATAGCTCCCGAAAACAAACCAGTGGCATTAAACTTAAACCAATACAGGGGCAGAGAGGAAGTGTATCTTGCAATCAGAGAACAGTAAACATCCATAACTCAGCAAGTTATTACAATTTCAACAAACTCTATAGCAGATCTCAAATGAACTAAACTAAGCAATTGATGGACGAGGTAAACCAGGAACATATGATTAATGTACAATTTCCAAAACAAGCCAGTGGAAGATAACCATAGACCACTACAATTGCTTTGATGCATCCATATGTATAGGTATGGCATGCATGTGGGTACTTAGCATGGATTTTCTAAAATACACTACAAATTAAGAAAAAAGCTGAATGTACCCATATCGTATACTTACACATTCTCACTTCTGCTATGCCATTTGTAAATAAATCCATGTAACATGGGAGCAAAATTGGATCTAGCAAGTTATTACAATTTCAACCAGCTCTATGGCACATAGCAAAATGAGCTAATACGAGTTTATTGAAGTAGTAAGCCAGGAACTATAAACAGCAAAAGGGACACATAAAAACGAGTATCAGCAAATTACTGTTAGTAAAATCCCTAGCAATTATGCAACCAAAATTCATCAAAAAATGGATCACAATATCCATTCACATTAAAATAACAATGTAAAATATAACAAATGAAGGCAAAATTGAAAATTTTCATTCTAATACCGCTGTAGCACCAATTGCCTTGAGCTTTCCAATAATGGCATTAGCTTCATCTTTGGTTACTCCTTTTTTCACCACAGCTGGCGCTTTTTCCACCAACTCCTTAGCTTCCTTTAAGCCCAAATCAGTAAAAGCCCTAATTTCCTTAATCACCTTAATCTTAGCCGCTGCATCAAACTTTTCGAGCTTTACATCAAAGATGGTTTTTTCTTCAGCATTTGCTTCAGTAGCCGCTGGCCCAGAGGAAGGACCAGAAGAACCTAAGCCCGAAACAGCAGGCCCATATCGATTAAGACCCATTTTGTGCCGGAAGAGAATGGCGTAGTCATGTTTTTCGAGCTTGTTCAGGTCCAGAAGTTGGTCAGCGATCCGCTCCAGCTTCTGGGTTCGGGTTTCAGTAGCGGTGCATAGAGAGTGAGCTATTGACGGGGCACGGATCCGAGAAATGAGTCCCCTTGTTACTGAGGTTTTTGAAACTAGAGATGCCATTTCCAGCAATTGCAGAGACTTGTGTTAGGGTTTTAGTAATGGAAGAGAAATGGGAAGAAGGTGAAAGGAGGACTGAAGTGAACAACGGTGTCGTTTTTACGTTGACGAATAACGAATTGGCTAGTCGAAGAGTACTTTGATACTTTGAAGTTACAAGTACAAAAAGAGATTTTCTCCGCTTTAAAATTCTTCCAAAACCCAGTTTTTCTTTTTTCCTTTTAGGACGTTTACATTTTTCACTTCTTAAATCTTATAGTACTAATTAAAAAAATATTCCTCCTTATTTTTAAGTGATTATATCAGATTGCTTTAAAGAGTGAAGCAATAGTAAGTCTTTGATTTAATTTTTCTTATATTGTTTCATTTTTTTGACGTGGCAAACATCCTGTAGCATGTTTCATATTGTCACTGTATATCTACCCTAATTTATTTTAAAATTTTACAATAAATAATAAATCTATCCGTATCAGATTAACTAGAGAGATAAGTTCAATTAATCCTAATGAGTGGTGAAATAAGTGTAGAACTTGACTTAAGAGAGTATATGCTTAAGAGTAAGACGTTAAATTTTTACAAAATGCACTATAACCATAAGATTAGTTTATTTAGCTTATGTTGGGGTGTCTTGACTCAAACTTTATATATATGTGAAAAATAAGTTTAATATAGAGAATTTTTCACAAACCACTATTATTTAGTGGTTATTAGCTAGTTGTAGCTACCATTTACTATATTACTTTCTATAGCTATGTTTTCAGGTTTTTTAGAATGTATTCGATGTATTTAAGCTACTATATTCATGAATAAAGTAGCAACACTCGACGTGAAACATGTGATTACAGCTAGATAATTATTGTATTCACGATCCCCAGATCCCACTTGTGGGATTATACTGGGTCGTGGTTGTTGTTGACTGTATTCACAATATGTATTTGTGAATACCGTAATGTAACTAGCGCAATTCATGGTCTATTCAGCTGTTTTTAAACGGAAAGTGAATCAATTAACATAATAGACTCCTAATATAACTCAACTAACTCAATTACATCACCATTAACCTGTATTTGACGCGAATATGCTGAAGATTTTTTCCAGGACGATAAATAGAACAAAACAGAGCATCACCGAGTTTCTAATCCTTCCCTCCGTGAAAATTCGTGAAGTTGCTCTGATACCAACTTGTCACGACCCAAGTTCGCCCTCCGTGAACTGTCGTGACGGCACCTAGTCTCTACGACTAGGTAAGCCTAACAATTGCGGAAAAAGAACAAAATGCGAAAAAACTAATAAAACTGAAGATAAGCAAATATAGAAGCGTTTAAGATGCCGCTTGGTATATACTAATACAAGATCTCAAACTGAAACTACATTTTTCAAAACCCGGAATCTCATGAATTACAAGCTTTTGAATGACTACAAGTGTCTAACTCCAGAATGTCTAAACAAAAATAAATACAAAAGGGCTAATACTTTAAGAGAGAATGGAAAGGGGCTCCTCGGTCTGCGGACGCGACAGATATACCTCGAAGTCTATGGAGAATCGCCTCGCCTCAAGGGTAGTAGGGCTGAGTCGAAGTACCTGGATCTGCACATGAAAAACATGCGCAGAAAGGGCATGAGTACACCGCAGCGGTACTCAGTAAGTGCCAAGCCTAACCTCAATCGAGTAGTGACGAGGAAGGTCAGTGCCTACTGAATTTAGATGAAAAACAAGGTATAATAGTAAATAATAAGACAGTATAATTAAGTACAAACAGTAAGAAGTAACACAGGATAGTAAGAACAACAACAACTACAACAGAGCCAAAATAATCACAGAAAGAATACAACTCAACACAGAGGTAACAACTGGGGATCTCTCAGGATACCGTTTTGTAGTCCCAAATATAAATATCCAGTGGATATCCCGGGTGCCGTCCCGTATTCCAACTCATAGTGTGCGGGGATCTCCCGGAATACCGATCCGTAGTCCCAAATATAAATACCCAATACTGAGGGAATCTACTGGGTGCAGTCCCGTAGTTCCAATATAAAGGTGTAGGGGGATCTCCTGGAGTACAAATCCGTAGTCCCAAAGTAAACAAGCAGGGGGATCTCCCGGGATACCGTCTCGTAGTCCCAAAGTAAACACACAACATCAGCACGAAGAATATTCAATTCAGTCCAAATTTCCATACCAAGGTAAATAGATAATTCTAACCTAGCATGCTGCACGGAATTCAAATAAAGCAATTTGAGCAAGTAAGGCAATTAAGTCAAGTAGACATGCTTCCCTAAGCTAACAGTAGGATTAAATTGCAGGTAGC